CATATCCCATGATTGCCCAGGGAGCTTTTGGACCATTGGGGCGAGATGGGAAGTGCATGTGGGTTTGTAGCATTTATTTAGACAAGCGAGTGTGTAAAAGAAGCACAGACAATAAGCATGGCTCTATTTGCTAAGAATAGTAGCATGTGTGTGTCAGAGGCAACAGCCGTTAAAAGCCCTGACCCTTGTCTCCTCCCATCACAACAGAGAGGTGAAGCAGTTATATCTAGCTCACCATATGTGGGTCAGTGGACATGTGGGTCAGAATTTCGTCCTCCACCAGCAGCTAATTCAGTCATTTCTGTAAAGCTGCTTTGCAGCGATTTGTATCATGAAAAGAGCTATACAAATAGCTTGAGAATTTTTTTTTTTATTCTGACCCATTTGGACTTTGCAGGACTTCACACTCCACTGCATAGCTGGAGAAGACCTGATCTGCTATGCCCAGAATAGCTATTTTAAATGTCAACTTTTGTTGACCTTGCATCAGATTTTAAGCCCTTCAATTATACAAGCCTATTTTAACCCCTAATCTTGATGGTTTTAAAGATTAGAGATTAGAACAAGTCTTACATTTAATTATAGCATGACAAAAGGGGATTTATGTTCCAAGTTGAATGCGTTTAAGAAAAGAAACCAGCTCAGATGATGCTCAAATCTCAATTATCAAGAACCGATAACATTTCTGACTTTGTGACCTTCGACTCACCTGTCTGGAAAACCTGCTTGTAAACGTGTTGTCATGTAGCGCTGGGCTGCAGACTCATGTCCGCGCACATGAGGAACCCCTGGGAAGCCACTGGGAGAACATGCAGTGTTGTTCACCATCTCGTGGTTCATCTCCTGTTCTTTGAAGTCTTCTGGAATCTCCTCCATCTCCGTCCTGTTTAGGGATATAGTATGTGCACTGTTCATTTCCAAAACAAATCAACCAGTCCAAGCCAGTCTTGTGGCTGAGTCTTGTGGCTGAGTCTTGTGCAAATTCAAATGATGGTCTCTGAATCCTGTTCAAAACAGCACAATTATGGATCCAAGATTCAGATTCAAGAATGGAATGAAAATAAGTATGTAACTACGAAGGCTAAAAGTGATCTATCTAGCTGTAAATCCAGAGATAAGCAGTTTCATTTCTCCAGGATCCCGTGGTTGTTTGTGTTTGATGAGGTGAGCGAAGAGCTTTGATTTGACTGAGCTCATATAGCCAGGGTGAGTGAGTTCCCAGGAACTGTGGATCCATGCTCTACGCACCTGCTCACATGGAGACCAAGGTGTCACCGTGGAGATCTTCCCACCTCTGAATCCCACTGGCCCCTGTGCGCGAAAGCACTGGTATAATAGGAGGACCGAGAACAAGGAATGGACAAACTAGAGATAGTAAGGGAATGTTCAAGCCTGAGGGAGTTACATACTGGGACACTGAGAAAGGAGTGTTTTGCTCTTGCGCTCTCTCTCTTTGTGGCTTTAACTGTGGTTCTGTCAAGAGCGCATGTCACTCACACAAAGAGGATTGGAGAATTAGACCTGGGGACCATTAAGACTAAAAAGGCACTTCACTGACACAGACTTTGTGTATAAATGTGCGTGAAGAGCCAACAGCTGCTGGCATAGAAGGCATAAAACAAACAAGATAAAGCAAGCAAACCCAACAATAGCTGAAACAAACTCAAAACAGATGAAACAACCAGAAAAAGTTGATGAAACGAACAAGCAAACAAACTATAGAACAACCAGACAAAACAAACTAGATAGATAAATTAGATCAAGCAAAAATAATAAAAAGAAATAAAAACCAACATGAAACAATGTAAAACAAACATTTAAAATTTTGCTAGGGTGTTCATTGTGTTTGCTAGGTGACGCTTACTTACCCAAGTTAAAATAGCCCACCCCATGATATTCTCAGACCAATATTTTATATATATATATTGCTTAGCCTCTGATATTTTTTTCGCCTGCCAAACAAAAATCGTTCTTTTGGTTTACAACTTATTTTGAAGTATCCTTCATGTTTAGCACATGCAGAATATTTAGGGTTAGGGGTTTATTCATAAACAATCAAGATTAGGCACTTCACTGACACAGACTTTGTGTATAAATGTGCGTGAAGAGCCAACAGCTGCTGGCATAGAAGGCATAAAACAAACAAGATAAAGCAAGCAAACCCAACAATAGCTGAAACAAACTCAAAACAGATGAAACAACCAGAAAAAGTTGATGAAACGAACAAGCAAACAAACTATAGAACAACCAGACAAAACAAACTAGATAGATAAATTAGATCAAGCAAAAATAATAAAAAGAAATAAAAACCAACATGAAACAATGTAAAACAAACATTTAAAATTTTGCTAGGGTGTTCATTGTGTTTGCTAGGTGACGCTTACTTACCCAAGTTAAAATAGCCCACCCCATGATATTCTCAGACCAATATTTTATATATATATATTGCTTAGCCGCTGATATTTTTTTTCGCCTGCCAAACAAAAATCGTTCTTTTGGTTTACAACTTATTTTGAAGTATCCTTCATGTTTAGCACATGCAGAATATTTAGGGTTAGGGGTTTATTCATAAACAATCAAGATTCATTTGTCGTCTTTTAAAATAAGTATGCCTCACAATGGCAAGGCCACAGATTATGTGTCAAAACGCATTGTCATCGAGTAGCTGATAAGTGCATTGCGCACTATAACTGAAGGCTTTCTTTCCCTGTATATTTCATATTAAGCAAAAGCAGGTGGTTGCTGGTTTGAGGCAGTAGCTTAAGCTGAAATCCTCTTAGACATTATGAAAAAAACAGTAGCTGACTGTCTTCAAAACCACACATGCAAAACCTGACACAGTGTGTGGAAGATCTTTGAAACTATGTAAAATCATTTATCTACATAGTCGTCTAAAATATATAATGCATTTGTCATCCTGTCTGGTGAATCAAACATTTCTCTTCTCATGTGGTTACCAGGATAAGGAATCTCATGCATATTTTGTGGGGAGTCCCATTCACTAAACCGTGTGAGAGGGTCAAGCACATGATAGGTCCTCTCCTGACCCTCTGCTGTGTGTGTGTGTGTGTGCAGCAATTCAGTGCGTTACGGGAATTAGTCTGTGTGTGACTCTCGTCAGGTGAGCAGCTGGTTTCAGTTTGACTTTTTAAAGATAATGACATTTAAACAAAGCTTTCCTGATTTAATGCAATTAAATTGAATACATTATTTTATTATTTATCCAAATCTACCTACAGTCCATTGCACCTCTTACAAAGATTTACTGTATACGAATGTATAAGCATAGCACTATATATACTATGACATTAATCTATTACCATATTCATATACTATGGTATTTACATGGTATTGTCTTGTACACGTCCAAAAAAGTTTCTGGTACTTTTTTTTTTTTTTTGGTTTCTGATCCCCCTATTGACCACTTATAGTAATTTTTTTTTATATGGTAATCATCCATTTCTCTCTTTCGACCAGAAGAGAGCAGCATAGACGTTTACATCTTCATATCTCCTCCATTATACAGTTGCCCATATCCTCTTGAGACTCAAAAAAAAAAAAAGAAAACATTTTTGAAAAATAATTTTATTCATGTCCTCTGTAGAGTACACCAGGACTCTGAAAGTAAAATGAATAGACATGAAAAGGCAAAAACAATAGGATTAAAAAAATTACCAATTAATTTTTAGGTTTCAGGAATTTTTTTTATTCCAAAGTTTGCATAAGAATTGTTCTCAACTGTTATAAAAGATATAACAGAATGATTTGATATACCACATTGCTTTATGCAATGTGTATAAAATATTCATAAACCCATTAAACACAATGTTATCTATACACTGTATCTAATTCGCATATTAATGTGCTGTGAAAAAAATGTTGGAAAAAAAAAAAAGAAGTGTAAATGGTGGTAATAATTTCTCAGATTTTCATAACATATAATACTTCATAAGAATATTGATAATTAATTTCCTATTCAATTGTTTTGTCTCCCAAACGGTGTAATAATCATGCTTTTAGTCCTGGTGTCCTCTACAGAGGATGTGTATGAAATGATGACCTGTTTCCTAACAGGAAGTCATATTTGATTTGAAACCCCATAACATTTTCCGGCGATGTTGATTTATGACAAACAATTAGAAAATGAATCCGATTTAAACGATTAAAAATATTATCACATTTCCATAAGGATGTAGGCCTACAATTGTATCACTAAGTTAATGTCAGCCATCCAAACATTTGGTATCTGTGAAAAGCCCTGAATGTGCTCTTTACAGGACATCCAGATTAAAACTGTGACCTGCAAGATCTCGGAGAAATTCACTTAAAATCTACAGAGACAGAACTCCATAGCTGGGTCTCTCAGGAGGATATGGTTGGCTATTGCACTCTGATTAAATAACTTGCTAAACTTTTGAATTGCACACAAGGTCACCTACTATTAATATTTTGTGTAAATGAATGCGATTATTGAATTCAGACCCGTTTTAGTGACTTTTACTTTACGATTTCCCTTGGTACTTTCTGGTGACTCACAAAGAACATCCTGTTTCACTGGAATAAGCAATAAGTTCATAGTCATTAACCACTTATCGAGTTGGTTATTCGTGCTGATTTTATAGATTTAAATTGGCAACCAGATAGGAATTAGTGATGAGTAGTCTATTTCCGCGAATCGGTTCTTTTGAACCGTTTCAAAGAACCGGTTCGAAAACAGCGATTCAGTGATTCTTTTAGGTTCTGACGCAATTACGTCTTCCCTTACATGCTTTTAAAATACCCCAATAAAGCAATGTATAGGCGTTACTTAACTCTTTCGTAGGGAGGTTTGTTGTAATTTGTCCCCGCTCATAAAACCATAAAGTCATTTAGGAAATGCGTTAATAAAACTATATACATCAATCGTCGTAAACAAATTTCACATGTTTTCTAGGCTAATTAATGTGGTGTTTCGTAAGTAAAAAAAAGTTTAAAGACGAGCTTTTGATTCGAGAAAAACGTAGACCGATTCGTACCGGTTTTGTGAACGGCTTGAAGTGATTCGTTGAAATGATTCACCTCAAAAGGACAGTTCTTTCACATCGCGGGAATTTCTGCATGTTGGGTGTTCTGAATTTTGGAAACTCCCACTTGACCGAAGGATTAGTGTGATGGCATGACATGGAAAGCGAAGCGGCACACAGCCACTGGCACAGCTGTAATACATTCCCTCACAAGCAAGCCCATCATCCCTCCTGGTAAGAAAGACGAACGTTTGAGTTTTTTTTTTTTTTTTTTTTTTGGGTATTTTGTCAGTTTTGGGTCGTATTTAGGTCATTTTATCTTGCTTCTCAAAGTAACATATTAAGGAACTATTCGTTTCCCTTATTCAGCAAACGCATTTCCCTGCGAAGTTGATGAGAAACCAGTTTACGTGAGAAATAAATATAATTGTATTCTTAAGCCAATATGTGTTATTAACTTCCGGAAGCGTGGCTCGTGTGTGCTTTTGTTCTTTATAAAGGACAGTTCTGGATATCCGCAGCGAAACATGTCTGAACTCGGCTTTCTGAAGATCTGTTTAATCGGAACCGCGTTTTCCTTTCTGGTGGCTCTGTTTGGGCTGGTTGATTCTGTGGGAGGTCTGATGTATTCTCAAGAACTAGACTGGGCAGACGACAGCTGGACGGAGAAGCTTCCCACCGTGTCTCCATCACAGACTACTACTACTGCTGCCAACAACACCAAGCGCAACGGATCGAGGTGATCTTCTCTGCCATCGGTGGCGAGTCTTTAATTGCACTAGGAGAAATAATCGGTGTATTAATGTTACTGACCTACTAAAGCCTGCTGTGGAATGATTTCCTCCTCTACACTACTGTGAGTCAGACATGAAGAACATCAATAATGGCTGGTCATTCTACAGCCATACCAGACGTCAACTCTTCACACTCATTACATTTGTTTTGCTTTGTTGTTCTGGTTTCTCCAAAGAACTTGTCTGACTTTATATGAAGAAGACCCTGCAAGAGTAGAAAACTCAATCTTCGGGAGAGATTGAAAGCTTAAAAATACTACAAACATGCTACATGAATATGCTGGACTCAAAATATTGAACTCACCCCCATTTAAACATGTTTTTAATGTTTGTTCCTTTTATATGCTGGTTATGAAGACAATAATAACACACAATGTTAATATACATTTGTGTAACATGCGGTGTTCATCATAAGAAACTGTGCCATTAGGCAGCAAAATGTTGTTTGGGTTTTGTGTAAAGGGGGTCTGAAAGATCTCAGCCAGGCAAAAGTTATGTTACTAAAACTCACTGTTCTATATTAAACTGAATAAATATATATATACATACAGTTGCACTGTATATCACTATAGCAGCAGCCTGGTTTTATGCACTACAAGTTTGCTAAAGTTTTTTTTTTCTTTTCATTTTTAATTTGAAAAATTACTACTTAATCATAGCACATTTTTGTTCAACTTTCAGTGCTTTTTTTTTTTTTTTTTGGAAGGTGAAACTCTTTTATAGGGGTATGTTTATCTCGATACAAGCTGACTAAGTGAAATTGGTATAGATGGTCGGAGTGATTGTTAATCCGGTTAAGTGTGATTTATGGTCCCGATTTTCCATGGGAATCCGCTCCTCTTTACTGAGACGTTCTTCCACAGATAGTGACATGTCTTTGCAAAGCTGAAGTTGCATATTGGCAGCTTTGAAAAGAACCTTGACGTAGATGATTGTTATTGAGCAATATGATCTAGCCAAGCCTTTCCATAAAAGCCACTGCCCCACTTTTTCTTCAGAGAAGGAATTCTTTTTTTTTTTTTTCTTCTTTTTTTTTTATGGAAATGGCTGTTTTCAGGTTTTTTTCTTGTATTTAATCTCCAATCGTGTGATTTTTATCCATACAGCTTTCTGGGTTTAGTTAGACTTCTCATCAGTACTAGTTTTTCATGTTTTGTCAGGATTGTTCCCATTAATCTAGTGACTTTTTAGTTCACACAAGCTGAGTCATGGCATCAGGAAGAAATGAAGAACATCTTGTTCCTGGGATAACTCCTACAACTAAGATTGTCGACATCGTGTACATTTATAAAAATGTAATACGAGCGTCATATTTGTGTATTTGCTCATTGAAAGTACTATACAAGGGGGAAAAAGACTGGGGAAATATTGATATCACCCAATACCCTACAAAACTTTAGTGGTAAAATATAATACAGTATAAAGAAAATATAATCACTTAACTAAATATGGCAACATGCACGCTTTAAATTCATTTTATATTTTTGGCAACTCTGGTTCCATGAAAAATCTTTAACGTCCCTGGAAGGTTACTCGGAAGGTTCCTTATAGTGGAAAAAAATGTTTATTGTCTTCCACATCAAGAAAAAAAGGATGTTTTAAGAACTGTTCACTGAAAGGTTCTGTGGGGAGCCCAAAATGCTTTTTCAATGGCATCACTGCTTAAACCCCCTTATGGAAGCTTAATATTTAATATGCATGCTAACAGACAGCTTTCACCAGCTATTATAGACTTCCCAATTTGTACTGTAGACTTGCATATTAGTTGTGCCTGTAGGCTATATGGAGCAACAGCGCTCTCTCTTGGATAAGACTTGAACAGAAATACATGCACAGGCACACAACTGAATAAACTTCTCTAAAGCTTCAGTGTTAATACTCTCACTCCATGTTACTCTCCTTTATTTGGCATATGTAGCACTTGGACGATGACAACAAATAATCTAATAGCTTGTAATTGTTATAGAGAAACTTTGAACATCCACCCTAACAGGAAGATGTAGCTAAGAATAGTTTCCACCCACCCTCACCGATAGGAGTTCCTCTAGACGCTATTAGAAGAATTAGTTTCTCCTACAGTGGCTGGCCATCTCAGTACTGCTCAGCTATTGTTATTACTTCAATATATAGCCATATGCAGTAAAACAATATGGTCTGTAAGTAGTTGTTTGGAAAAAGATGATCTTTATTGTCTACTCGCATGGAAATTTGTCTTTGGCTCCACCCCACAAGATGGAAAATTACACAATATACATATTACAAAAACAGGACAGAACTATTCATGCATATTGACAGTCAGACTCCTGCAATGGCTTCCTCTTCTGGCTTTGTGCCCTGACGTTTGAGAATAAGATGCAGTATAATAAAATAAATTTGAGAGGAGTGCTATAAGACATAATGTATGGATGTAGAATAAAATACATGGTTCAAAAAATGAATAGAACAGCTCAGTAAAAAAACAAAAAAAAACAAGTTTGCATATTTTTATTATCCAATAAACATGCAGCTTGTGTGGGTGCAATTATGCTTATTTATTATTTCAACTCCTGCAATGGCTTCCTCTTCTGGCTTTGTGCCCTGACGTTTGAGAATAAGATGCAGTATAATAAAATAAATTTGAGAGGAGTGCTATAAGACATAATGTATGGATGTAGAATAAAATACATGGTTCAAAAAATGAATAGAACAGCTCAGTAAAAAAACAAAAAAAAAACAAGTTTGCATATTTTTATTATCCAATAAACATGCAGCTTGTGTGGGTGCAATTATGCTTATTATTTCCCTATTAGTTTTCCTATAACAAATCACACGTTGTAAAAATTAGGATTATCTTGTACATTTCAAATTTGCATAAAAACAAGGATTTGAGCATTGAAAAATGTTTATCTATCCAACATGTTCATTTCTGCATCTGCTAAGTAGTTTGGGTGTTCAACATTTCTGATAAATGAGGCATAAATATTTTAAATACTGAAATGTACCTACATTTTTACAGACCTTAACAGTTTTTAATGCAAATATGTAACTCGCGTTCCTCTTTTCCCTATTTATCTCTGCGTTTACTGGAATTGCACACTAATTACATAGGTTTTGTCACATTACACCCAAATAAATACTTACGAAAACAATTATCATTATTATCAGCAGAAATCCTGGCATCCAGTTTATTGAGTGAGGGGACTGTGACGATTTGTTAATCTAATGAATAATTGATTTGTTAAATCAAATAAAAATTAGTGTGTCAGATTGGTCGAGACGCTACACATCATTATTAGTATTATAATTTATCATTATTAGTATTAAAATTTTGATGTAGTTATTATTATTGGCTAGCTATTATTTATTCTATTTTTTTATTTTATTTAACCTGAATAAAAATGAAGCTGTGGTCACATTTAATTTTTTTACCTTTAATCTTTTTCCTCAATAGTACAACCCATTAAACCGACTGTAACTATATCCTTCACAGCCTCGTTTTCCTTTGTGTGTTATATTAAATATGCTGTCTACTCTAACTAAAGTGTATTTGCCTCATCACCCACAGACTTTCACAGTTCTGAAAACAAAATTGTACATCTAATTCCTCTTTTCTCTATTTAGTTCAGTGGTTCAGTCTCATATGATGTTCTCCCTTTCACCCAGTCATTCCCCAGCCGAGCCAAATGCTGATATAGCGGCGACATACTAATGTTGTCTCGTCTCTCACTTGCCCCATTTAGTGAGACCAGCATAACTGCACACTGCTCACTGATCCGCATTTAAGGACCCCACCAATAGAAGACATCTCGGCTCTCATGTAGCTCAGGGCCACATGACTGCCGGCAGAGGGGAGTGGATGCTAGTCCACAGCAGGGAGTGGGCCTGCATTCCTGATGCCAGAGAGCATACTTGGCATTCCTGGCTTCTCCTAGTTGCTCTCAATGAGCCATTTGACTGGCGCTGAGGATTTTTCCCTGAGAGTGGCAGAGTCAGCCTCTGACGGATGAGAGTTGCTGCTCTGGAGAATAGGAGACTATTCATGCCATACTGGAACTAGAATGATGCCATTGAAATGCACCACGGAAAATGTTTAAAAGTGCCACGACTCAATTCAGTGTGATTTGGGTTGTTTTTAGATGGTCACAGTCAAATAAAGCATTGCATAAATATGTAGAAACACTAACAAAAAGAAGCAAAATGATCTATTCTTCTGTAAAGTGGTATGACTTAATTCAGTGGGGTTTATTTTTTTATTACTACGGTCAAAATATTGTATAAACATGTAGAAACACTGACAAAATAGTAGTGAAATATATAGATTTTTCTGTATTTGGGTGCAATCTTTCGGATCAGTTTGAATCTGTTATAATCTGTCACGAAATATGTTTTCTCATCCCTGTCATTCAGTATGGGACAACCAGATACAAAAACTATGTCATATAAGTTTTAGAAATAGTAAGAAATATTGCATTCACTGAAAGAAAACATTGCCATTGATATTGCATAATTTTATAACATTTTCTGTAAATCATTTTTAAATTCTCACCCTGACAAGACATAGTAGCACTATTTTTTTATATAGACGATGCATAAAAAAAGTGTATGTATAGGCACACACACACACACACACACATATGAAGAGTTCAGATGCAAAAGTGCTATCTGAAATTTTCTTCTATAGTGAACATTTTTATCAGGCTCCTATATTTGTTCAATTATTTAACTTTAATTGCATGGAAAAGGGACATAGGAGCCTGATAAAATGCTCATTTTAGATTAAAATTTCAGATGGCACTTAGAGGGCTTTTGCATCTGAACTCAAATATGTAAGGTATAATTGACTTCGGTCCGTTGAATTCTTAGAAAATAATGCACACCTGAGGTGGGGATGGCGGAGTGGCCGTTACACCTTGGGTGTGCATTTTTTTTAAAAATTCAACGGACCGAAGCAAATTGTTCTGCTTGTACTACGGTTGCCACACGCCTCAAGACATCGATCAGATGATATATTTCAAGGCATTTGTCCGGTTTTTCAACTTAAAACTCTATTGAGAGTAGGATTATTTCTTCCACATCTCATCCAACGCTTGCGTTGCTAATTCCAAAACGTCATTTTAAAGGGGTCATATGATGTTGCTAAAAAGAACATTATTTTGTGTATTTGGTGTAATGCAATGTGTTTATGCGGTTTAAGGTTCAAAAAACACATTATTTTCCACATACTGTACATTATTGTTTCTCCTCTATGCCCCGCCTTTCTGAAACGCATCGATTTTTACAAAGCTCATCGGTCTGAAAAGCGAGGTGTGCTGTGATTGGCCAGCTATCCAGTGTGTTGTGATTGGCCGAATACTTCAAGCGTGTGACGGAAATGTTACGCCCCTCACATACTGTGATGCCTTGTGTGCTACGAGCGCCGGTGATGTGCGACAAGACAAAACCAGTAAAACCATTATAAACGAGGCATTTGTTGCATCCAGTGGGGTCATAATTACTGATTATAATGACTTTTACTGTCTTTTTACGCGTTGCATTGAGTATCGCGCTGCGTAAACATAAAACCATGTCTGCATTTGTGATCGAAAAAACGACAAGCAAGAGCTACTCTACACTGTTCAAAACTCGCTTTTGAATTATCAGTGGCAAATTCTTTAAATATAAAAACATACTTACAGGCTGTGAGTCAGAAGCGCCAGACTGTCCTTGCAAAGTTGGAACTGCCCCACTTTACAGAAAAATTGAAATCGCATCATATGACCACTTTAAACCTAGTAACAGAGGCTTGAGACATTGATAGCAGACTAATGCAGTTATTAACTAAGTTATTAGAGAGAGAGAGACAGAGATAGATTACCTCTGTGAGTCTGTGTATCTCTCAAAAGTGTTCGGCAGCAATGTCTCTAGCAATAGTGAAACTTTAATTTCATTTTCTTCACGAACAGCGGCGTTGTTGTTACCTCACTTGTAAGAAGTTTTTAAGTTGTTAAACTGTTACTGATAAAATCGTCAGAGTAGCGCTAAAAACAACATTAGCGCGTATGTTAACGTGTAACTGTATGTGCATCTGTGAGGGAGAGAGTAGCCTATGTGCTTTCCGTACATAATAAAACGTAATTTTGTGACAAAAACATGGACATGATCTGTCGTTTTTATCCTATTGTTTACTATATTTATTTGTTTGGCCAGTGTCATTGTGGGGTTTGGTTCTTTTGCTGTTGTTAGGTTGTAATGTTAAGGACCTTTGAAATACTCAAATCATTTGGCGAGGTGATATGGACATGTAATGCGGTCAAGACTAGTGGTCGACCGATATCTTAAGAGAGCAGGGTATCCGATATATACAAGTATATTTTTTATTTTAATTATAATTTTTATGTATTTTAATGAATGTTTGAGAAACTTGAAATAATTTGAAAATGAATTATATTAAAAATAAATGAGTAAAATAAACATACTTATACTTTAGATGACAACTTCCTGATTCTATCATTCCATTACAGTATTTTTTACAAATAAAGAAATATTTTAAAATATATAAACAAAAATAAAGTAAACACTGTAACCAACGGGGCACTCGGTAATCTGGGAAGTTTGTGTGCATTGGGAATCATATTTTTTAAACTAAAGCCAAGGTAACACTCATTTTACATGCAGCACACAGTAAAAACGACATGAATATGACAGTGCGCAAATGCATAAATCAGCATGAAATAACGAGTTTAAAGTTGATCACGCGTCTCCAGTGAAGCTGAACTCTCCTCCTGTGCGGATTCACGGATCGACTGTCACGCAGAGCACGCGCGATCAGGCAATATACAAATGCACACTTCACAAGATCTCACAGCTGGATTCGACTAAGTCTGCAAGGTTTGTGAAATTAAATGTTCATTGGTCATTTAAAGGTTTGTTTAAATGATATGCGTATTTGCTGAATGCTGACGGCAAACGAGAAAGTATTATGTCTGCCTTTCTGTTACTAATAATATAAAAGCAATCGTTATAATACTTTTTGTATACCTTTTAATTCATTTGTTCAACAGTTCTATCTGATTATTAGACAGACTTCTATCTGTATTAGGCAGAACTGTTAAAGGACAACAACAAACAATGAAGAGGGGGAATGTGAGCACTGTGTGCTCTGGCGCTGCCGTTCTCAGCGCCGTCAAAATAAAAGTCTCGAACACATCGGCCAGGCAGAAAAACTTATCGGCCGATGCCGATATTTGAAAAATGCCAAATATAGGCCGATATATCAGTCGACCACTAGTCAATACCTGCCTGGATCTAAGTTCGCCGTGCGTTTCCTTGAAAATAATTGCACACCTTAGAACATGTGTCAAACTCGAGGCCTATTCGGCCCGCCACATAATTTTATGTGGCCCCCGAGAGCATATTATTGTCTTAAAATAAAAAACTATGCTGCTTTATTTCGTAAATTATGAAAGTGCATATCAGTATCAGTACCACAAGTTTCTGTTTCTATTTGGAGTTCTATTTATACGTAGAAATGGACTTTGGTTTGCATATGATACATATTTCGTAAATTATGAAAGTGCATATCAGTATCAGTACCACAAGTTTCTGTTTCTATTTGGAGTTCTATTTATGCGTAGAAATTGACTTTGGTTTGCATATGATACGCAATGGTGTGGGGGTTTTCCGTTGATGACGACTGCGTGGACGGCTCAAAGAAATAAAGCGGACCTCATCAACTGCTCGAGCACCAATGGTCGAGCAGCACACACGGAGAAACCCAATATTCTCCTTTAATTTAACGAATTAAAAAAAATCGATTGCAGCTTTCAGACACGACTTTCTTCTCATTATAATAAATCATTTGAGGCGGTTTCTATGGAGTTATTTTACTGACAAATGTCCAGAGCGCATTATATTGCCTATGCAAGAGCGCATCAAATGCGCGAGCGCAAATCTCTCTGCTCGCTGGTGGATTCCCATTCATTTACTCTCACAGAAAACGGACGCGCTCTCTATCGGGCAGACCATTACATGTGTGCACTCAAAAAATATCTTCTCTCCTAAGTTTAATTAACGCAACCTAGAGTGTGGGCATCCACCGGCAGAAAAATAAATTGGCGCATATATGCCAACGAATGTAAATCAGTATTTACATAGCATAACAGGAATAAATGTATCTGTTTCGCACATGTCCCGCATTGTCCCGTAAAATCACATCTACTGTCCTGCAACAGATCTATAGCCAGGTGGTCACCCTAGCGTAGAGTAATAAAATAATGACTAATTTAAATCAGTAAATCTTAAAGAAAACAATACATTATATAAAAATGAAAAGAAGCAGTTTTTTTTGCGATCAGATCAACCAGTAAACTCCTGGAAAGTCTAAGGATCCAGTAAGCAAATGCATTCAAACAAGTAAGTTCAAAACAGTGCTAATGCAGAGAAAACACGCCGATGTCATCAGAGATGGCAGAGAAAATAGTACTCGCGTACAGATGTCAGTAAAAAAAAATCGGCAAACTATTTGGCTTAAAAGCACGAGTATTTTCTACTGGATGCTGGCTGAAGGTGTTTTAGTTTACGCAGTAGTCAGTAGTTTAGTAAATCTGGATCAGTCAGGTAAAGGTAGCTCGTTCAGTGGTCTTTTGGCGTCCCCCTGTGTTCTTGTTTGGTATAACAGACTTGTGCAATTTTTTTATTAAAAGTGCTGTAAACTACTAAATGTAATGTAGAAATGTTCTGTGAAGCTGCTTCGCAACAGTGTATCATGAAAAGCGCTATAAAAATAAATTGAATTGCAAACAATTATTAATGAATTTATTTATTTATTGTGGCACGCTATACATTCATTGCGAATTATGAAAATTAAAAAGTACTTTTTTAGTACTTTAGTTTGTATTTATTTATTTTTGGGTGAGGGAGTGGGGTTGAGTACCACCACTTCTTTTTTTCTACTACAAGCATTGATTGCGTATCATATGTACACTAAAGTAAATATCTGCGTATAAATCACATGCCAAATAGAAACAGAAAATCGTGCTATTGATACGCATTTTCATGAGACCGGGCTCATACCATATCTGTCACACGTTCTTAGCAGCTCACAATTATTTGTTGTGCCATAAATGTAACAAGTTAATGTAATGACTTGTGTTTGATGATACTTGTCTTTATTATTTACTTTGATTTATAAAGTAATTTGGATTTCTTAACTTGATCAATTAAAAGGATTTATGTTAAAATAACAGAGCAATTACATATATTTTTACATCTATGCAAATGCATGCAATATTTGTAACTTAAATAAGTAATAATAAAATAAAGAGACAGTTATTTAACAATATATTATATATTATATAATAATAAAGTTAAGGTATAGTAACATTTGTCTTAGTTAAAACCGGCCTTTTGATGGCAGCCATAATTTTGAAGTGGCCCTCAGTGAAAATGAGTTTGACACCATTGTCAGCCAATCAGATTCAAGCATTCAACGGCCCCGCAGTGTAGGTGTATGTGTGTGTGTATATATATATATATATATACACTCACACACACCGTATTGGCACAAATATAAGATGACCCTGATTATAAGACGACCCCCCTTTTTCCAGATGTACCTTTTGGAAAAAGACTTTTTAAAAACCAAATCATTTTGTCTTCAATTATTTTCATATTGCATATTTTTCCTATTTTTGTTTTGAAAGTATGGTAAAAACTGGTGTATATATATATATACACATTTAAATATAAAGGAAAGTGAGTAATAATTACATGTTTAAAATCAGTAAAGAAACTAAAAGTACCATGGGACTACTACCATATATTTTTTACTACTATCCTTGTAATACCGTGTTTTCTTGACATGTACCATTGTTGAAGTACCGTGGGATACCAGCAACATGGTATTACCATCGGATACAATCACTGTACCATGATACCACTACAGTACTCCCCCCCTCCCCTGCATTCTTGTACTGCAGGTACTGTACATATCCATCGACACTGTCACTTCCATGTGCCACATTTAGCAGCGCTCGTTCTCCGTTTCCCGTTACGCTCAATTGTAGGCAGAGCTCAGGAGTGTACGGTGCTGAAACCGAGGCTGTAACGTCATGCTCGACTCTAAACCTCACCCTCCCTCCCTCCCTCCCAGAGGCAAGCAGCTCTTTCACAGGCGCAGACGGACTGACTGACTGGCTGGAGCTGGAGCGGATTGCTGTAAGTATCGCGTTTGCGCGAGATTCTGTGGCATTACAGTCGTAACGGCGCGTGTATTGCTCGGGAACTATGAGGGGATTATGATGTCACAGCTTGATTGATACATTGTAGCGGCTGAACGGCGGAATGCTGCAATGTTGCAAAGCAGACCGGCAAAGGGTTTGCGGAAGAGCAGCTCAGATGTCTAGAATATGGCGGTGCTGGAGTGAAACAATTCAACTCCTTAGATTTGCCAGACTCGGCTTAATGGCGAAAATGATCGCTGGGAACTTTGTGTAGAAGCGCGCGAGGTTTGCGGTGTTTTGTCGCGTGAAGAATGGCGTTTTTTTGTTGTCTCATGCCCACGGCACTGTGGAAGTTATAGCGGAAATGGAAAAGTTGTACGAATGAGTAGTTTAACGAAGCACAGATTATCGGCTTCTAACAGTCAAAGCTGCATTTTTCGACACGGTTTACGTAAAGAGATGGATAAGGAGTGTCAGGCATTGTGATAAAAGGCACATTTAGCGCTTCCAACGCAGTCTTTCCTTCTAGATTTGACTGATTACCGGCCCCGCCTAGTTCTGTTCTGTTCCTCAGTCGAGGGAGATGACTACAGTTCATTCAAGAAGAATTGGAGAAAATGCCTCGGTTTTCCTTCACGGTGGAGTGACCGTCAACTCACGTAGGAATATTTTGCACTCCTGCTTTTCAGGGTTACGGAAAGAATTACATATATATATAAAAAACTCATGTTGCATTCCACTTCATAGACCAGGAAACATCACAGGGCCCTTATAGACTCCTAGTTGGATGTGACATTTTGAATATTGTCCTCTGAGAAGGGATATGAGGCTGAAGTCTCTCAAAGAGGTTGTTAAAGAAGATCCTGTTGCTTCTCCATGCATTTTTAATGGCTTGATCTTTAATGACAGGGCTCTTGTCAAATTATAACAGCCTTTCTCCAAAGGTGTCTCTACACAGCCTGCTCTGAGGTGGCTTTGTGTCTGCTATAAAGTCTGTAGAAATGCCACGTCACATAAATAACTACTAAAATATGCCAGATTCCCCTTAAGCACATAGTATCTGCATCTGATGCTGCTTTGCTTCTGTGGGAATGAAATGCAGCATCAGTGCAGCCTTAAGGTGCGGTCACAGTTACCATTTGTCTGCAATTTTTATGGACGAAATCTAGTCATTCCAATGGGAATTCGCACGATTTGGTGTCTTGTGTGATGGCGAAATGTTTCCGATGCAGATTTCACTCATGTTCAAGTTGGTCACACAAATTTGGCCGCACTCACCAACAGAAAACTGCTTGATTTGACCGTGACTTTAATGGGAGGTCTTCTTCATAAATGGCTATGCTATTGATGATGAACCTTTTTTTTTTTCCCTGTGAAATTTTGCTGAAAAACTAGCCAATGTGACTGCACATTTAAGCATATATTATGAATTAACATTTTCATAGTTTGTTATATTTGTAATTTCACATTATATTTCTATATTCAGAATTTCCTAGCATTATCTGAATCTTTGTATTTTAATTTACTCCATTGTGTAAATACACCTTTATTTGTGGAATTCATTGAGCTTCTGTGCCACCTTTCCACTGTAAAATGGTTCAAAACTCCATTTAGGCTTTGTGGAATTTGTATAGGTTTATGTTTGCTGCAATATTTATGACAACTTGTGCAACCACCAATCGAGTGAACACCGTTTCCTGTTTTTGAGGGGGTATTGAGCAAACACTTGTCATTCCCAGTCACGGAAAAGTAGGCAGCAATATATCTGTCACTGCCAAAGGCAGATAAGTGTATGTACACCCTTACATTTCCTGTGTCAAAACTCTTTTGTCAGTTCACTAACTTCGTGTGAAATATGAGTTAACGCAGTCATAGCTTTGTTTTTGCATCTTTTTTTCTTGTGTCCTGTTTACCTATTGCATCAAGTTTGAGTTAAAAAATGTGTAATTTATACATGTCCAAATTCTCAAATTGAGAAGCCAAGCTTGTTACCATACCAGTACTTGGCACAGATCTTTTTTGGAGTGTTGGGTCGAGACGACCTCACCCTAGTGGGGTCTGACCCCGGTCCTGTCCCTCCTAGAGCAAAAGGAAGGAAATCCCCGTGATAGTGTGTCCTCTTGGGCACAGAGGAATGCCGGTCTGTAGGCTCTGTTGAAAATAACAAAATGAAGAGATGTGGACTTCCTTTCAAAGAAGGCCGCCCCCCGTTTGAACACCCTTTAAAAAACTGGGTTGGGTCCTGGAAGAAACGTTTAGAGCCACGTCTGCTATGATGTGTCGATTTCAGGTATCGCTTTCGTGTAGTTCCTAGTTGTTTTGTATAATTACAGTCGCGATTGTTGCGGTTACAGTGTGGTTCTTGCTTTGAGCTGTATCAGAACTTCCCAGCAGCGTTCTTGTGGGAGTCAAACCATATGCAAACAAACACGGGGTCTGTCAGGGAAGCAAATATCTCTTTGACTTTGTAAATGGCAGTTCTAATACAGCTGTCTGGACTGATTCCTCTGGAGGGCCGTGTCTAAATATCCAGCCTGCTAGTCTGAATTACGCTCGGTATTCTTCTAGTGTCACTATATTATGGGTCTGTAACTGGTATATATATGGCTGATTGTGGGTTTTTCAGTTTCAGATCCTTAAACTTTACCTCTTGAGCCCCTGATATTGAATATTGAGTATTGAGAACAGCTGTGGCATTAGTAAGTGCTGTGGTTACCTACCAAGGCTTTGACATTTGACTAGGAAACGGAATAGCGTTTTGAAGCCAGTGGGTAATGAGATGACAAAACATTAACTGCCAGCTGTCGGTAACTTTTTGTGACTTTTAGAGGAACCAACTGAACAGAAAGGAAAGGAGATGCTATGGAGAGGAAGAGCATGACAGTCTGGGGAAAAGAAGGCTGTTGGCGTCCCTCAGCAAATTGGACCACTTCCTCTTTAGGCCAAAGGGCCTCATGAAACCTGGTGGCCCTGTCACGCCTTCCTTCCTCCTTTTAAGTCATGTGATTGTGAGAGACCAAGTGAGTGTAAAGAGAGCTGTGGGTTTGATATTGTAAATATACTTTGTTTTTAGCAGATATCAAGTGGATCTCAGTGTAAGAATTCAGAATTGGCTCTCAAGTTGTTTCCAAGGGTTACGAAGCTAATGTGGTGTAGCTCAGCTTGACGCTCACGTTTTCTAACTCTAATCCCAAAGCAATTCCTCCATCTATTCCCACACATCATTGTCCTCATTTAAGCATGTACGCCATGACTGTGGACGCTATTTGTGACTTGCAAGATTGGGGCCTTTTCTGAGTCTATGGTCCAGAAATAGACATTCGAATGATGCTTATGATCACATTGAAATTCAGATATTTGTTGTTGCTTTATACATGTACGCTGATGTTGAAAAATGTTGTCAGTAATATGTATTTTTTTATTTCTTGAAAGAAAATGCTGCTTTTATTCAACAAGGATGCACTGCATTGATAAAGTATCAATTTGTCTCTGAAGACAGTGAAGACATTAATAATGTTATTCTAGATTTCTATTTCAAATAAATACTGTTTTTTGTCAAAGAATCCTGACAAAAAAATGTATCATGATTTCCACAAAAATATTAAGCAGCACAATAATGTAGCACTGAAGACTTGAGTAATAGCTTCTGAATCACAGGAAATTACATTTTAAAATGTTAAAATAGTAAAGATGTATTTTAAATTGTAATCTCACAATATTACTGTTAAATAAATTCAGCAGTGTAAGAGACTTCTAATAAAAACATTAAAAACATATTACTGATCCAAAACTTTTGAACAGGAGAGTGTTGTATTTAAAGGCTTTTTAAGGGCTGGATGAAATTTATAATCTATAAATAAATTTATAAGAAAATCTAGATATTTTTCAGCCATATTAAACATGGTTTTATGTAGGCCTACATATTGTCTCTGAAATGGCTTAAGTCTCTGTACGTTTCATGGCATGATTGTTTTGGCCAAAATAAAATAAAAAGCTGCTTTAAAGGAGTGTTTTTGAGCATTACATTTTGAGAAAAAAAACCCTCACTGAACTGATTATCAAAATGCCTTATGTCTAAGTGCTTTATTTCAGGATTGATGCAAGGCCAGAAAAAGCCTAAAAATAAATATAAATTGGAAAAAGCATAGTGAAATCATCCATATGTTCACAATGTTAGTTTATTATGCACATAAATATTAGATCTACTACCCAGGCTTTATGATGACACCTTCTATTAGGCTAAGATCGGATTTAGAAATGCACAATGAAATGGTTTGAGCAACAAGTTTATGAAGTGGCATTGCTCGTTTGTCTGCAGAGAGTTAGCCTATTTGTGTGTGTGTGTGTGTGTGTGTGTGTGTAAACGCATCCCTAGGGTCTATATGCTGTAGTCAGTCAGACGTTAGATGCCCTGCCATGTGTTGACATTTGACACTAGAGGTTGGACTGAGTTCTCATTGATCTCGTCTCCCGTTGCTCCTTTTCCTTCCATAATCTGCCTCCCGACTTGTTGTTTTCCAGTCTCTAAGCAGCTTACTGGTTCTAGCAATCAAAATCGTGCTATTGCCTTAGTCTTAGTGATATTGTTTTGACAGGGGATGTTTGACACCCCTGCCCTTTGAGCCAGTGTTTGTAATTGTTGTGGGCATCAGTTGCCTTGTAGTTTAGTGTAGCTAGATCAGAAGTGGGGCTAAAATTGTACCTCAGTGTAAATGCCAGTGCAGATGTTTTTGAGTTACATTTTAAAGGAATAGTTTGCAGTTAGTCACACAAACCTGTATGACTTTCGTCCGTGAAACACAAAAGGAGATGCTTTGCAGAATGTTCATGCTGTACTTTTGCATACAGTGAAAGTGAATGGCGACCAAAAATTGGTCAAACTCCAAAAATGAGAGAAAAGTAACATCACACCAGGCTGAATGTTGAATAAATATTCAATATGTGTTTATTCAAATTGCATAAATGAGATTTGAGAGCTATAAAGACCACTAGTGT